AGGCATCACCGACATCTTCACGTGCCTAAGATGTGACAGATTTAAACGATTACACAAAAATTGCAAACAATAAGCTACTGATTTTTAACTTACCACAATTCCTTCCGTAGATTGCAGTGATTCAATCATATATTTCACTATGCCTTTGAGGTATTTTCCCATATTAGTCTTTAATATTGTAGATACTGAAGCAAACAAGCCATACCTGGAAAAGAAAATAACATCTAACATCAAAGCAATATTCTCAAAGGATCTATGGGTGATTGATAGCGGCATTGGAGAGAGTGGGTCACACAATTCCAATTTCAACAATGGCCGAGTGGTCATAGAAATACTGAACAGAAGCATCACAGCAACAGCTTAAATTGTAGAACTGAAAAAAAAAAAGACAGAAACGCCAGAAATGGGCAAAATTGGAGAAGATTTACAAGGATTGCATTAGAGTAAATTTTGAAAAACGTTGGTCCAACTTTTTTCAAGAATACTTCAATTTGTTTTAAAGTGTCATGTCTGATGCTATGAAGTCATGCTTGTTTGTTACGCGGCCTTCATTCTGCCAGTGAAAGACTGTCGCTCTGCAAATTAAGACATAATAAAACGCTGTTCAAGCACTGTTAAAGCATTTAAACGAGTGAGAAACGTTATTGTGCATTTGCTTCGATTTTGCATTTGCAAAGCTCTCCAATTGCCTTTTTAAGTCTTTCTAACCCATCAGAGCAAACATACGTTTTTTTCAACCAATCAAGGACAAACCTTGCCTAGTTCCTGTATGTCTTTCATACAAGCCTTGAAGGTCGATTTCGGTGACGTATCCGAGACGAACGGCGGGGAGTACACTTTTCGCCTCGTTCCACGTGACTTGAAAACGATTGACCATGGCGAAATATAGAGGCCTAGGAACTAGGCAAGGGCTAACCCAAATCAACCACGTTTGGTTGAAAAACCTATCCTAAACACGAGATTGGTTGGATATCATTGCTTCATGCATTGACTTGACTACTAGATTATTCACCGCTATTGAGTAATTTGTATTTGGGTAATATGTAGGAGGAGAGGAGAATTCCGAGGGTATCTTGGCCTGTGGTGATCGGCACCAACAGAGATTTATCGATAAGAACCAGTCAAAAGCCTATCAACACCACCATTAAGAGAAGACGCTGGAAATGGATTGGTCATACACTAAGGCATGGTGCGAGGAACATAGTGCGCCACCCAATGGATTGGAACACGCAAGGTACACGGATACGTGGTAAACCGAGAATCACGTGGCGCAGAAACTTCCAGAAAAACCTGATGGAGACCAACACGAGTTAGTGCGAGGCCAAAAGAGCGGCTCCAGACTGTCAGAAATGGAAGGGAATAGTGGACGCCTTATGTGCCCCAAGGGCCGACGAGGACCAGATGATGACGAAGAGGACATGACTGACCAGATGTGATTATTATCTCACTCTTTTTGTTTGTTTGTTTGTTCGTTTGTTTGTTTATTTTAAGCAACTATATTGACAGTCTAGAATCACAATCCTTACGTGCATCTTCTTAGATCAGGATCCCTGTCTTGTTCAAGGAGTCTCTGAAAAAAATCATAATAATAATAATTACTGCTAATTTCCATTTCCAGAGCAGAGGGGGAAATGATAACACATATTTGTCAAGCTCAATCTGCGCCAAACAGCTGACATTTATGTTTTGAGGTGCATGAAAGAAAATGCGAAATCAAAATTCCTACTCAGGGACTGAATATCTTCGTTTAACTGTTGAGAATAAAAACCAAGAGAGATAAGCTTATTTCAAATCAAATCAAATCAAATCAAATCAAAACTTTATTTATCGAGGGTGACACGTAATAGTTTATCAAATAATAAATTTGTGGCCCTCTTAAATGTACTAAAAGTTAAAAATCTACTTTAAACAATAATCAAAGATTATCACTAAAATATCGCAATCTAAAAATTATTATTTAAAAAAGGAGTAAAAATCTTATTCTTGAGCTGACTTAATTTAAAATGTTTGTACAAAGCRTTCTTAAGGATATTTACAGATGAAGAGGCGCGCAGCTTCAACTAATGTATTTGAAGTTCCCGACTAGACACTCCGCAATATTAATCATTTCAAGGGATGTCTAACTTAATTTCAGGCATGCTGCATTTCAGCTATAGCTGGAATAAAACAGATGTTACTATACGAGACTATGCAGAGCCTTCCCTTTTTTTGAGGATGCTTGATTCCCTAACTTTCTTCCTTACTAGACTTTGAGTAGTTCCTGTTTTGCTCAAACCATCGAGCGTGAACCGTAGATAAACCTCAAATAAAGCTTGAGGAAAAAATGGCTGCGCGAAATCCTGGAGGCGAGGGACTTTCACGGCTTCATGCCCTTGGTTTTTTCTCGCGGTTTCCTTTCATGTCACGCACAATGGACTAAACGAAAGAGAGACTGCTCGTAGTCTACTTCCTTACTAGATTACCCTTCTAAAATAGCTGGTATCACTGTCAGGCTATGTGGTAAGAAATCATTGCAATCTTACCATGCCAAGCTGGACACACTCATCTGCTAGTGGCATAAAGTTATCAGGACCAATAGTTCTGGCAAGAACTCCTAACGTATCTATATAGAATGGAATAAAAGTCAGAGAGAACTCTCTACAACCACTAGAATTTCTGTAAGAACTGCAGAACTGCAGACTCACCTATAGCTTGTACCTGTAAAATATTCCCTTCAACAGATCCTGAGTTGCTTAGATATTCCTGCCAAAGGTAAAAAGAAGAATGCTCACTTTTTAAAACAAGTCAGAGACCTATTACATAGCACTTGCCAAAGATGGCGTCGTACATATACAATGTTTTTTTTTTAAAAATGTTCTTGCATGTGTTTTTTTACCCGAAAAAAAGACATGCAAGTTGTAACTTGAATCATATAGAGTGGTTATCATTTGATTGTCTAAAGCAATCCTCGATTGCTTTTGACTTCCTTTTATACTCTATCATATGATTGGTGTAAAACCCTGCACCCTCCTTCTCAATCACCTCTGAGATACAAAGAGAAAACCAATTCTGACTTGGTTTTGTCCATGTTTCCATGTATGACGCATGTGTTTGCTTTGTGCTCTCATTTGTTCATTATGTTGCTTGCATTTCCTTTGATCGGTCAATGTTATTTCATGATTTATTTGTTTTATATTCATTTCAACTGGCACAAGTTCCAGCCATTTTGTGAGCCTCCATTCCTTGACAACCAGACTTCCAAACAGGCCAGAAATAGAGCAAAGATTTTTTTTTGACACTCAATAACTAATAAGTAGAAGAACAGTTTTTTCCCAAGATATGAATGCTATGGTGAAATTATAATTACCTTTATAAATTGAACTATTTGAGGAAAGTATGGTAGCATGGCTTCTTTGGCAGCACTAGCTGTAAAGAAATATTTTCATTAAAAACAAATAACAAATGACAATGAATCTTCGAAAATGGTAAAATGCAAACTGAGGATGATGAAAACAAATCAAAATATGATTAACAAAATATTGACCACTGTAGCCTCAGCGTGAAGATGTCATCAAACGTTGTACG